GCCTTCTGAGGGGGCAACGCTAATCAAAGCTCCCCTCTTCTTTGATCGATTTCCTCCACGGTGGCCGCAAGAGGCCCCCAGGATGCCCCAAGAGGCCGCAGGATGGCCCCAAGATGGCCCCAAGAGGCCCCCCAAGAGGCCTCCAGGAGGCCCCCAAGAGACCCCCAAGAGGCCCCAAGAGACCCCCAGAGGCACCCAAGGTGCTCCCAAAGGCCTCGGCGATAATGTCAAACCATTGTTTGCACTAAGGTTTTAGCCACATGCTGGCCTCTTGGGGGGGGCACTGATTAAGATGACTTCAAGAGCGCCTCGGAGAGCCCAAAATGACTCCAAGATGGCTCAAGAAATCCCAAGTTGTCTCATACTGGCTTCCTCTGTGTGCTGTCCACTTCCCTGATCGAGGCAATCCCACCAGCCCTCTGGGCGTCGGTGGTTTAAGGCGTTTCCTCTTCCATCCCTCCCTCTTTCCCTTCGGGGTTTACCCCTCCCCCTACCCCCTCCCCGTGGACCTGCACGGGGGGGGCCGCGAGCGGTCAGAGCGTCCAAAACTGCCTCGGCGAGGAAGCCAAAATCATTGATTTTACTAAGATTCTGGCCCCATTTTGGCCTCCAGATGGCCCCAAGAAGCGCCCAGGAGGCCCCCAAAGGCCCCAAGAGGCCCCAAGAGGCCCCCAGGAGGCCCCAAAGAGGATCCCGAACGGCCCACAGAGGCCCCCCGAGGCACCCAAGACGCCGAAAAGCCCCTCAGGACGACCCTCTACTCGCCTGGGCGTCGTTTCTGGACGGGCTGGTGGGGATACGCGAAGCGTCTAGAATTCCTCCTCCTCCCTCATTTTCCTCCTCCTCCTCCTTCCCATCCTCCTCCTCCTCCTCCCCCTCCTTACCGCGTGGGCGAAGATGAGGTAGAGTTCGCGACCCGCCTCAGATCAGACCGCTCGCTGAACTGCAGCGGGGCGCGAACTCGACCATTCCCTTACCGCGCGCTGATGAAAGCGAGGTCGAGTTCACGACACGACACGTCCCAGTTCACACCAGTCGTCAGAAGTGTGCTGTTCCTACAATATGTATCCTTCCTGCTGCGTTGCTGCACAGGCGCGGTGGCAAGGTTCGCCGCAGGCAACCGGCAACTGGATAAACCATGTGACCACATGCCCACAATAAAAGCGGCGTCGACGATCAGCACAATTCCCAACAGCAGCATGGCGCACGGCAAAACGACGAACAACGACGCCGACTAGCATGACGAGATACTTGACGACTTTCACGCTGCAGACTTCCAGCATTGGTCAAATCAATGCTGCCAATTCTGTTAGCAATATCGCCGGCAAGTACGTGCGACGGCAACCTCTACACAAATACCACTGCCACCTCCGTCAACACCATATTGGGAGCCAACGGATCCACAACCAATAACCCCAACAACATCGTCGACGCCAACATTAGCACAACGACTGGGCTATCAATGCACAATCCCGTAATTGAATACCTGTTCGCAAATGTCGGTTAATCTTCGCGGGTGATGGGTGCGGTGGCATACGGTATGTGTTGCCAACGCAATTCAATTTGAACTATTCTAGTAAGCTGGTGGATTCCGAAGGCTATGGCTATGCACGACAATATCGGCAAAGTATATGAATATGAAAAGCTCCACTACGATTTTCCGCATAAGCTCTCACTTCGCTTTGGTATTCGCGTAAAGGAAGCTACGCACCCTGTACCCACACATGTTTCACAACCGATACGGCGACAGACACTAGACCGACTACAGCATCAACACTCCGACCGCGATGGCCATTATAACGCCGACTACGCACGTCGGCTCTGGGAGGGGACCAGATCCGATAATGTTTTGGTTGCAATTGACATATGGTCCGCGCGCCAGCAGAACTCCCAAAATTAGATCCCGTTGGTTCGCCGTGCCCCGTCCTGGGTCTGCCGCATTACGTTACCACCTTTTTGTTCCGGAACTATTGTTGCATTCTCCTCAGCGTCGTCTTGCCGCTAGTGCTGGCCGAAGTTATAGCAAGGGGCCCCCCCATGAATCGTCATCGTGGCAGCCTCCGCGCTGGCCAACATACTGGTGTTAATACAGTCGGGATTGATTGGATAGGACACGCGATAGGACGCAAGACCCTTCCGAGGACCACACTGCCATAGGAATGTGGGAGGCACGGGTCGCGACACACAGGGCACAAGGGTACCCTTGATTGGCAGGGTCGACCTACTAATCGACCTCGACTGTATTTCAGATCCCCCGTTTAGGGCGTCTCCGCAGGCGATGCACGGCGGACGTCGCACGGTCCAGCGCAACTCTTGCGTGAATTACAGTCGGGGCTGCCGTGGGCGTTCTTATCAAACCCTTGCGGTGGCTGCCGTGGGGGGCTGGTTGAGGCTGTAATCAGAATCGTCGTGGGGGACGCTACCAGGGCCTCTTCGGTGAGAGTCGTCGAACCCTCTTGAAACAGTGGCCCGAACATGTTCAGAAACACACGTGCCATAA